CATCTATATTCAGATGGAGTCCATTTGTTTTACTAAAATACTAGAATTTAGTTAGAGATAGTTGATTTGATTAAACTTGTAAATTAACCTAGGAACGAAACAAAGTAGAGCACTGACCGTGACCTACTTTTGGGACACAGGTATCAAGCTGTTTAAAGTTTAGCAACAACAAACAAGCTTTTTAGTCAGTATTTTTACATTCTAAAGTTTTCAAAAATGAAATACGATTGTCCCATTTTATGGACTTGGGTAAAAAGTGGTTAAGATTAGACAAAAAGGTTGAATTTTAACACTTTGAGTCATTTTCCTATAGGGCTAATAAGAATGCGATATTGAAATCACCCTGCTTTGTATAAAAAATAATGTTTCTAAACCTACGTTAACATGAGCAAATTGCTCCGATTTAGTAGCCTAAAGTAGAGTTTTCAACTGTGGTTGTCATGTCTATTACACATTTCTAGATTATTGATTTAACCGCTGTAAGGCGCACACCTTTGATTTTTAGTTGGCCGATAGTTGTGCCCGATTTTAATTTGTATGAAGAATCGGCCAAATCGAATCGGCGTAGTGTGCACATTCCCATACATGCCCATACTGATCAACTGCCCGACTAAACTATCGGCCGACGAAAAATCAACGGTGTGCGCCTACTCTAACAGGTACGCTACGTATTGTCTCAAAGATCGCTCTGTGTAAAATAGTGCCCACTTTCCAGCAAGTGTGACGTCATTAGTATTCCATTCTACCCTTTGAATCCAAGGCGCTGTCACGGGGACCCATGTCACGCAAGACCCGCGATCGCCGGCGCATCCACGGAGACGCGACTTAGCGCTTTGAGAAGTCACGTGCCTGACACCTTTGTGAGATGTGATCCATCTTCATTTGCCTGCTCCCAGCTCCATGCATTCATCCGGTCAGTCGCCATCTTGTTTTAGCAGGTATACGACGACATAGAGCCTTTCTTGTAAACTCATTACATTAAAATGGAGCTAACATACCTATCAAGTGGTAGTGGTTCAACATTTTTATCGATAACATCATGTAGAGTCATTTCATTGTTTTTAACCTAACCTAAAATGCACCGCGATTTCGTAGACATTTTTTTTAAATGAAAGCTTACGAAGTTGCCTATCTGAAACATTACAGCATGTAACCTGGTAATGCATAAATACTAATTCCAATAGTTAGTTCACTCATATTATAAACCTTAGTTTTATCTGGCTTAGTGTTAGTCCTTACTCCATAATGTGGAAAATCACAACAAATACACTACATAATTTTACTATCTCGAGATCAATAGAGACCTACCTATATTGTATTAAATCCTTAAGAAAATAGGCCGGTTCCCGAGCCCATCAGCCTGTAATTCAAGGAACAAGCAATGCGCCTGGAATATCAATATGATCGCATTGCAGAACGTTCTCGGGGTATTCTGGACCTTTCCATTTCGCTTCGGCCGTTGCGTTACTTACAAATCGGTTCCGTGGAATGGCGGGGTCGTATTCTCAAAACGATTTGAAACGTAAGCTCTATCCAGACGGATACAGTCTTTGATTGTATTTTCTTGATATCATTTTGTATCAAATTGTGCGCGTCTAAACAATGTAGCATTCCTAGACTGAAAGCAGTTTTGCCAACATAAAGAAATTATGCAATCATATCTTAAAACGAAATCTACTTTTGCGTTTTCATTCAGATACCTACTCTTCTAGATTGTTAAATTTTCGATAGTTTTATTTCTTTTACTCATACTTACTTACTTCTCAATATGGTTGAAAATGTCTTATAGAGAGGGACGTATTGAGTTTTGCGAAATAGGGCCCTAAGGCCCATCGTCACACGCCATTTCTCCCATTGAGGATGGTGGGATAGGGGAGATTGGGGTGTTTATGGCGATTTTGGAATTCATTTCTCTCTTCCTATGTCTTTGGGGATGGCGAAAAAATGTTTTCGAATATCAGAAAAACTTATGTGGAACTTTTTTCATGAATTGAATCAAATTATTCTGAATGTTTGATTAATATGTAGATGATTCTCGATAAAGCATAAATTATGCCTTAAATTCATTACATTAGACGAGTACCTACATATTTGGTCGCTTACAAACTCAAATTAAAAATTTATTTATTTCACAGAAATACACGTCCATTAGATGTTTGTTAAATTGTAACTTGTAAAATTTGAGTTAACAAAGGTTAGAGCTTCAAAATGTACCCTCCGTGAATTCAGCCACAATTAACTAGTTAACAATGCTGGCGTGTCAATACAACTAAGTGAATTATTTGCCAGCACTATAAAAGTGGGAGTCAAAGGCTGTCCCTCCATCCCGGGACCCGGGACCGGGACGCGGCTCAAAGAGCGCCCGCATGCGGCGCGGCTCGCTCGACCGCTGGCCCTGCCTTTTGTAGGGGGGCCATGGCCACCGGGACTCGGAAAACATATTATTAATATTAATTTATGCGCCACCTAAGGAAACATTTAATTGTTTTTAAATAAATAACTTGAAAAAATCTAACTGCCTAAGGCGGGAATTGGACCCACGACCTTTCGATTGAGAAGCGACTCGCTAAGAAATTTTAATTACGATTTAATCGCTTTCCCCCATAACCGTTAATTAGTCGAATTAATAAAAAAACATACCTTAGTATTAGTCATCAGTTATAAATGTTTATTAGTAGGTATTACTATAGTTGTTGCAATTCACGAAGGCGACTGAGCTTTACATGTGTGGTAGCTCGGTTACTGTGCGTTTTTAAAAAGTTTTGATAGATTTGATAGAGACATTACACTATTGTTATGTGCATGTACACGTACACGCAGAAGTAATGCTCACTCGCCTTCGTGAGTTGCAAGAACTATACATTCTTTAGGTACCTACTCAAACCACTAATAAGTATTCGTCAATAATTCACCGTTTGCTTCGTATCAGTTTCCAATTGTAGTAATAGTTTGTGGTCACCCTTATTATGTATGCGATTCAGAATCAGCAGTGCCCTGCTCGTCGTTGTTTGCTGACGATGTTGACTTGAAACTAATTGCGTCACTGTGTGTTAACTACTCCTTGGACTATTGCAAAACTGTTGGAATCTCTCGATCCGGGAATCGTTCGTTCGTTCCCTTGTTTCAGCCGAAAGACCAGGCACCTCCCGCGACCTTCACCAAATCGTCGGTCCACCTAGTTGGAGGCCTGCCCACGCTACGTCTTCCGGCTCGTGGTCGCCACTCAAGAACTTTCCTGCCCCAGCGGCCATCAGCTCTACGAGCTATGTGTCCCGTCAGTCACTTTGGTTCTCCTACAGATCTCATTTCTGATTCGATCACGCAGCGAAAATCAGGTTCGACTTCGAACCGAGATACAGCAATCGCACGTTAAACTTTGTGTAAACTATTAATATTCTTTCCTGTGAAAGATACATGAAGCCACGGTTGACATGTGGGTAGCCTGATAAGGAGACAATAACGTACCTACTTCATATGACCATTTAATATTTGAAACTTCAAACTATCGATCCTCTCCAACATCCCATTTTCGTGGATGTCAACATGCAGGGTGTAACTTGGCCAATCCTGAACTTCCGGCCATTGATCCCGCTGATGGATGCTACGGCTACTTAAAAGTTTCGTCATAAAAAACTTTGCTTGCACTTCTTAAAAGCGTGGAAGTAATTTAAAGTAAAAAAGTATTTTACGCTTTTATATTAACTAACTTGCTTTGAAGTTTTAAATAACAAACATCGTTGCTTCTATGTGTAATGGGGAAGTTACTTTGTACAAAATAATCAAGCTTTAACGTTATTTTTTAAGTACCTTCAGAAATTTTAAGACATTTTATAATTAAAATAGTTTTGTAACTTTACACGTTACCCAGGTACTTTTTAATATAGTACTTACATGAACTCTGTATCACGCCTCTGCTAAATGTTAAAGCGACATACAATCTAAATATTTTGTACTCAAAAAGTATGAAACTTGCAGCTGCAACAGCGAAATGAGGAGCGCGAATTTATGCCTCCCCTTGCGCGCTCACGCGGGCATAATCGCGTCGCTGCAAAATTGCCGCGCAAAATATATCAGGCACCACGGGTTACCCTCTTCATACGACTTAAATGCTTTACCACTATCAAGTAATTACACTTTACTTGTTACGGGACCGAGTAGTTATGCGTAATATTTTATGGGTTACTGCGGATAATAACTATTAACAGAGCCGCTATTATAACTGTTGTTTAAACTTCAGCAGGGTATTAACTCACTCTATTGTTTTGGCATGTGATGTAAGTGTACCTACCTATACTAGCCAACGCCTGCGACTTCATGTCAATCTTAATTTTTTCTAAATCTATATTATAGAACTAGCTTTCCGCCCGCGGCTTCGCCCGCGTGGAATTTTGTCTGTCACAGAAAAACTTTATCGCGCGCGTCCCTGTTTCAAAAACCGGGATAAAAACTATCCTTTGTTCTTTCCCGGGACTCAAACTATCTCTATGCCAAATTTCATCAAAATCGGTTGCGAGGTTTAAGCGGGAAAGCGTAACAGACAGACAGACAGACAGACAGAGTTACTTTCGCATTTATAATATTAGTTGGGATTGAAGAAGGCGCCTGGAACAATTATTAATTAGGTATATCCTTTCATTCTACCATGTATTATAACTAAATTCAATTTAACTTAGACACTTATCTAACGTTTTATCTGCAAAAATCGCCAAAAGTGCACCATAACCTCTATCAATATGGCGGTCGTCAAACATCAATCTTCCCAATTTATTAGCTTTAAACTCTTAGAAATGCCACAACAAAAATTTAACAGCACAATCCTATACGAACAATAAAAATTTACCCGCTCTAAATCCTTTATCACCACTCTTTAATGGCGATTTTTACAGCCCATAACAAACGTTGCCATGACGAGATTCCATAAACAATTCTTTATTTACCTCTCTATACTGGCACGAGCGGGCTCTTATAAAATAGAGTTAAATGGGGAATTATTATTTGACATGAAAATATCAGACGCCGGTGAACCTTTCGAAAGAGCCGCAGAAGAAAATGGCAAGATATGGGAAAAGGAATACAAAGCCCTGGATAGTTCATTGGAAAAAGGAGAGTCAAAAGAGTCAAACAAAGAGGGGGAAATAACAGAAAGACCAACGAGTGAGAAAGTTGAAGAGTACATCATGACAAGTCAATCAGGAATGACGGTAGCGCCGGTGGTGGAGTGTTTGTACCAGTACCCGGACTTGGAGCAGTTCAATGCCATGTTGAGCAACATGATGAACGAGCTGACCAAGGTAAGATAAGTACCAAAGCTCTCTTGAGCCACCAAGCAAGTAGGTACATTAAATATTAGCATGCAAAATCAGTGTTTCGCATTACATGTCTATTGCTCGCAGCTTAAGTTAGTAATTCAAGAGTCTGATTGACTCATCATCGTATTGACGCTGCTCCCCACTACAAATATTGCGCGGACGGCCGAACACAATTTGTTTATTCCAATTACCACGCGGTAATCACCGCAGTCGCTGTTGACTCCGCAAACACAGTAATTGAAACAAGTTGTAGGAAATTGACATGTAATTTTAACGGGTGGCTCCGAATTTCCTCCGAAATTGACGTTTTGAAGAATCGCGCCGGTGTCGAAAGGTGTTTATTTATTTTATAGTTAATGAAAATAAATAGCGCTGGTTTCCTTATGGAACGAGACTGTTAAGCCTATGGAACTCGGTAAATAGTCAGATAATTTGTTTGAGATCAAAACGGGATCCTTTAAATTCTAGATCATTTGGGGATTTACAGCAAAATTATCAACTTAATGTTTATCAAAGATCGTTAAATTTATCCTTTGCCTAAAACGTTTCAAAGATAATCAATAGAGATAATAGGTAGGTACTACATCCGAGAAATTATGCAAAGCTTCAAGCTAAGCTAAAACCTTAATTGACTTACTTCCTTCGAACATTTGCTAGGTATTCGTTCGAGTTCACAAGCTGATGCACGAAGTCGATGGCCGAAGGCGCCAAGAGACCAGGTTCAGGGTGGTCGCCAAAAAAGCCACCACTTACTTCGAGGGCATTTACTCTAACATGACGAGAGAATACAGGTGACAACCATTACTTAACTTTGTGACACCATCATTTATCAGACTCTCGCGAGAGGTAGTTGCTTAATATTATGAAACTTCTAGCGAATTCTACAACAACGTAGCAGGACACGTGGCTCGCGCAGGCGAAGACCCCTGCAACAACCAAGCTGAACTCAAAGAAGTATGGAGGAAGCTTCTAGAACATTCCCTAAGCAGCCTCCGCGACGCTGCCCAGTCGTGCATCGAGGAGTTCCTCAGGTCCCAGAATAAGAGCCACGACCGTAAGGCTAGGGCCAGATTGGAACAGTTTCTGGCGAGAGAGCTGCAGAGAATCAAGACTGGACAGCTGGACATGCTGTGTGATAGATTCCAGCTTTGTTTTAATGAACTTTTGTAAGACTGCTGTAATTTTGCAGTTTTTGTGGTTTTTGTATTATTACTTGACAAATAACATAATTAGATACTTTTACAAACTTCCATCCTTTATCAAAATTCACTTATGTGAATTAGGCGTGAAAACTTAACAGACAGACGGATTTACTTCTCATCAACAATAAAATTTATCATGAATTTCTAAGGGACATTGATATTCTAAAAAATAAACTTATCGACAGAGTAAAATAAAATGCAATCTTTAAAAAATAATATTTATAATTTTATTATTCAGTATGATATAATTTTTCTACTTAAATATACTTTTACACAATATAACAATTACATTTTTTAAGAAATACTGATACAAATGTATCTGTTAAAAATTAAAACAATTGAACTAACTTACAGATAGATTGCTACTAAATATTCATAGATCCCCTGGATTGAGCTGCTCGCAATCGATCAGAATTAGAGCTAATTAAATTGTAATTATCAATTGACTAATAGCCTAATGAGATTAGCCTAATTATCTGGACATTACGCGGCTAAAACATGTCGATGTCAATCATATTACAATACTGACAGTCAGCATTAAAATGTCTCTTATATTAAAATATCTGATTATTTAGGAAAAGGATACAACGATTAATTATCTACTTAGTTAAGTACACCTACGAGTAGGTCTGTATTCTTCAATTCTTCAAACTTTATTTTAGTATGTACATAATATACTCAAATCACAGGCTTGATGGAATGTAGGTATTCTTATTATGGAATGAAAATGCAAAACTTATTTATTACATACCAAACACATAAAATAAAGGCTCATAAACTATCTAAGAGATTCTCAAATTGAACATACGAGTATCTGGTGATTATTATACCTTTTTTCCTATCATCAAGACTTTTAGCAATAAGTAGAGTAGGTAAAGCAAAGGAGAGTCGCCCATCATCTACAACTCTAATGCCAATAAAAGATCACAACATTTGCCAAAAACTTGAAAGGCCAGAGGACTGCCACTAAAACTTTCAAACTCAATTAATTGGAACATTCGTTGCTCAAATGAAGCCCATTTTAAGCGTACTCCTGCAGGAATTTGTGGTGGAAGCGGCTGATAGAGTCCATCATGTGCTGGAACTCTTCCCTTGGATGTAAGATTGTGGTCCGGAAGTGGAACGTGCCCGGGACCTGCCCGAAGCCCGTGCCCGGCACCACGCACACCCCTGAAACAAAAATATCAGATTAAGCCATGATACATGATGATGATAATGTCTGTCATGATACGAGTCGGAGCATGCCCTAATTAAACTCTCCGCGATATCATTCAATTGTCGTAAGTCCGTATGTAATTGAATAACTTACTTAATGCTTGAAATCGGCTATTTTAGGTAAAATACAATAAAGCAGATCATGGCGCAACTCGCGATTTAACCATATTAATATGAATTTTTAACAGTCTATTCTTAGAAACACAATCCCTGTCCGTTAAAACAGTCTTTTTTTGATGCTTTCTCGCTATTCACCTCGAGTCCTCTGTCCTAGTGAATTTGATACGTTCCAAAAGTCTTATAGACATAGCTAGTAAGTTCCGTACCGGTTTCCTCCAGTAGCCGCAAGCAGTAGAACTCGTCGGGCGCCATGCCTCTCTCCTGCGCCGCGGCCTGCGCGCGCGCCGGTAGCTCGATGCGTGGGAACGCGAACATGGAGCCCTGTAGGAATATACATTTGTTATAATATATGGTTCCGTGCTTCAGAAGGCTTCGTTAAGCCATCATGTTGGTCTTGAGCCATGTCAGATGAATTAAAAGGATCATTTACAAAAGATTATGACCACACAATGATGCAATTCATTAATCTCATCATTGCAGCTTGAGGTGACGCATGTTAGTAGCGGTGTAGTGAAGTATAGGTAGACTAACAGCATCGTAGCCTTAAAACCGTTTATTAAATCGTTTTTCAATACACTAACCAATTCAGCGCTGGTCAATTTACTTCGAAAAGGCTTATTCACTCTATAGTGATTGATGGCTTAATCTATTTATGAATGATTTAGACCTCCAAAACACGCTACTCTATACAATTTATTTTAGGTCAAAGACGGCGTTAACACTAAATTAAAACGTAATAGCCAAACCCATTCTAATTACTCGTACAACCGTTTAAAGACCAAAGTAATGATATCGGAATATAGTCGCAAAATAGCACAAAGTTGCGATCTGATGACACGCCAACTTAACTCTCGAAGGAATTAAGTTGTACTAATTGTCCAAATCAAGCAGATTAAGTCTTATTTCCCTAATTAAAGCACTAGGCTAGGCGCAGTCGAGCGGACTCGCCCGAACTCGTCTAAACTGGGTTGACTAATTGGCGGCACTAACTTTCGACTTCTACGGACTTTATCCTGGGGGATCCCAAGCTCGGGTCTTAGGCAAGCATTGATGAATGCTTCCAGGAACTGATGACAATTTGTGATCAACTAACTTTTGCGCGGTCAAAGACGTTGCCCTCGGGATCTTCGCGGTAGAGTTGTTTAAAATTCACGAAAGTAGATTAAGACGTTCTAATTAGAAAACTAATCTAGGGATTTTCAATACAGCCGTCAGCCACTACCTATTTAGGTGTCCATAAGGTATTACGTGCTTTACCTGATAGTTATTACTGATATTCATTATCAATAACTTTGCACCGTAATTCTTTAATCGGTCATAACGGTAATCTCTCGCTTAAAATTTTACTATCTCTTATCTGGTATTAAATTCTGGTCTTCGATCGAAATTCGCACATCTATTTTCTTCTATATTACTCTGTCATAAGTTTTAATGGGATAAATACTTACATCAATAGGGTTGCAAGAATATCCAGGAATAGTGTTGAAAGTGCGGTAGGCCGTAGTAGTACGTTCGGTCAGGGTGCGCTGCACTTCGGCCAGCTCACGCGCGAACTGCGGGTAGGAAGCGTCTCCGGGCACTGGCGGCTTCATCTGGTGGGAAAAACATGTCGCTTGAAACGAATGTTAAAAACAAGCACACATCAGTGTGTAATGTTCGTCCATATTGGAAAGAACTCGGGAATTTATGACACGCCATAGATAAACGTCTCGATATGGCTCAATCAGACAAATCAATCGGAACAACAGTGGGAATAAGAGGTGGGAATAGTCCCGTTCCATTCTGCAGAATACATTATACATTCCATGAAACTCTTCCCACATTCCCGTGTTTTGCGCACCCTGCTCGCAGCCCTGCCTGTCCTAGAGCATGTCACGATACTCACAACACAGTGCAGCACGCACTGTCCCAGCACGGTAGGGCACTGCATGACGCCGCGCGCGGCCTCGAAGGCGGCCCGGACTCCTGGCTGCAACCGCACCAGCTCCGCGAACCCTGAACGCAGCCTGCACCCCACCTGTTCTAGAACACGTTGATACTCACAACACAGTGAAGCACGCACTGGCCCAACACGGTAGGGCACTGCGTGACGCCGCGCGCGGCTTCGAATGCGGCCCGGACTCTTGGCTGCAGACGCACCAGCTCCGCGAACCCTGAGCGTAGCCCGCACTCCGCCTGCCCTAGACCACATTGATACTCACAACACAGTGAAGCACGCACTGGCCCAACACGGTAGGGCACTGCATGACGCCGCGCGCGGCCTCAAAAGCGGCCCGGACTCTTGGCTGCAGCCGCACCAGCTCAGCAAACCCTGAGCGGAGCCCGCACTCCGCCGCCCAGCCCTTGGAGCACGTCACGAAGCTGGCCAGCTCCATCGAGCTGTATGGCCCGCCCATCTCGTGCATCACCTAACAAAGAAAATGAGGTTGATATTAATTTTGGGAATAAAGTTTAGTTCAATCAAAAGAACCCAAGATAAATGGGCAATCGCTTTTTCCAAGTAACCTACAGCATCAGGAGTATTGCTTCGGAAAGCTTTTTCATAAATTGGAGAACTGATTAATTGCCAATTTATTTCTGGAAATCGTCAAAGTCTAGCTAGGTAATTAATATAGATTTCTTCGAATTTAATGAAGAACAAACTGAATGAAATGAAATAAAAATTGTATTACTAAGTAGGGTCACATATTTTACGTACCTTCTTGAAAGAGAAGAATGGCTTGCTGACGATGTTCTCCTGGTAGACCTCGTCGGCCATGATGAAGAGGTCGTGGTCGTACGCGAACTTTATGATCTCTTCGATGTTCTCACGACTTAGCACCTGATAACAAACGATTTCATTGATTTTCATGTTGCATTCAAGCACTTTTTGGGTACGACGTGAACATTCAAGAAAACTATGCCTACCCTCTCAGTTTTGTCATGATTGTCAACACCGGAAATTACATCTAGAGTCTCCTTTATAGTTCGCTCAAAAGTAATTTGGCGACCTATTATAATAAATCAAACCAAAATAAATCACTCAATTTCTGAAATCGTGTCAAATTAACCATTACCTACTATTTTTATTTGACCCAGAAAGCTGAATGTCTTGGGACTAAAGCTGTTTTTCTAACCTTCTAAGAACCCTATCTTACGATAACATCGTCCACAATTTTAACCGTCCACCAATCCCCAAAGCACGAAGCTTGAAAAAACTGTCACCTGAGACCAAAGACAAGCCTTTGAGTTGAGAACTTAAATTGTTTTTTCTGCGAATCCCTCATTCTATAGTAGATTTCAAGATAGGCAGATGCTCCGTATCACTCGCCGGTCACGTCCCGCCTAGTGATGTGCCCAGTCAGCTATTTTCTATGCCCATTTTAGTTTTGTTCAAAAATACTGCTATTCATTCAAGAATCATTCGAGTACATCATTTGGTTTCAAGTACTTTCTACAAATAAAACTTAATAACGTTTGGCATACCTATTAAGTAGGTAATGTAATTTCATTGGCTGCTTGTATGATTAATTGGCCATAGTTACTATTCATGCAAATAAGATCGTAGTTGAGACTTTCAATTTAAAGATTTTTAGCTTGAGATGGTTCAAAATCTCAATTCAGAAACCGGAGGTTTGTAATCGATTTCAAGTTTCATCAAATATATTTGCTAATTTAACTCGTGGTATTTCCTGTAATTGATAATTTTGTCTGAAGTAAAAAGTATAGACTATAAGGTATTCTTCGACCTCAACACATCCCTCGGAGCTCCCGAAGCGGGAAGCGCCAAGCGGGAAGCCGCGTGAATGACAATGAGCGGGCCGGGCGGGTGCTGCGCGTCACGTCAATACTAGCGGTCGGAGTTTGCCGAATTTCAACTTGAGGGCTCGATTGCGACTTGTTTCCTTCACCGCTGATTTTCTTTTTTCTATTTTTGGAGTAAGTTGGTTTTTCAAGTAGCTCTAAAATCTGAGACAGTTTTTATTAAAAGCTACAAGACTTTCATGTCTTTTAGAGATAGGTCAAAATGTGTAAAAGGTGGATTAAATGCTGTCTAAGAGGACCGACATTTTCCAGAAAACGAGGTTAGTTTATGCCAAATCTGTACCAAAACCTGAACAAAGGACAATGACCAAAAATGTATGGAGTGTGGTCCAAATGTCCACCACTAATGAGACCTATGTAGTAAAATAGTCTACTAAATACTGATTCATCAACAGCCCTTTACAGTCCACTGCTGGACTATGAGCCTCCTCCACTATAGTGGAGGGTTTTGCCATAATCTCCACGCTAGGCAGGCGGGTTGGAGATCGCAGTTTAAAAGATTGATGTTTTTCAGAGAGCGCTGCTGCCCATTCTCTGTTTGATGTGTAGTCCCTAAGTCGCCTCTTACGACACCCGCGGGAAGAGTAGGGGTTGGTGACAAATGTATTCTACTCTGCCGTCACCACACGGCTTTCTTTCAAATACTGATTCATTATAACCAAACCGCAAACAAAAATATGCTGTCAGTAAAAAGTTATGACTGAATGAAAAGTCTGTTTTTTNGCAGTGGAGCACGCACTGGCCCAGCACGGTAGGGCACTGCATGACACCGCGCGCGGCCTCGAAGGCGGCCCGGACTCTTGGCTGCAGTCGCACCAGCTCCGCGAAGCCTGAGCGCAGTCCCCACCTGTCCTAGAGCATGTCACGATACTCACGACGCAGTGGAGCACGCACTGGCCCAGCACGGTAGGGCACTGCATGACACCGCGCGCGGCCTCGAAGGCGGCCCGGACTCTTGGCTGCAGTCGCACCAGCTCCGCGAAGCCTGAGCGCAGTCCCCACCTGTCCTAGAGCATGTCACGATACTCACGACGCAGTGTAGTACACACTGGCCCAACACAGTGGGGCACTGCATGACTCCGCGTGCGGCCTCGAATGCGGCCCGGACTCTTGGCTGCAGCCGCACCAGCTCCGCAAACCCTGAGCGCAACCCGCACTCCGCCGCCCAGCCCTTGGAACACGTCACGAAGCTGGCCAGCTCCATCGAGCTGTATGGCGCGCCCATCTCGTGCATTACCTAAGAAGAAAAAAACGGTTGATGTTTTTTGGGAATAAACTTAGTTCAATCAAAAGTCCATTGAACCAAAGATAAATGCGCAATTGCTTTTTCCAACTAACCTACAGCATCAGGAGTTTTGTTTCGGAAAGCTTTTTCATGAATTGGAGAAATACTTAATTGCCAATTTATTTTTGGAAATCTTAAAGGTAAACCTTTCTAGCTAAAGCTAGGTAATAGATTTCGTTGAATCGAACTGAATAAAATGAAACAATATTTTTGTTACAAGTGGGTGTCACTTTTACGTACCTTCTTGAATGAGAAAAATGGCTTGCTGACGATGTTCTCCTGGTAGACCTCGTCGGCCATGATGAAGAGGTCGTGGTCGTACGCGAACTTTATGATTTCTTCGATGTTCTCACGGCTTAGTACCTGACACCAAACAATTTCATTGATTTTCGTATTGCATTCAAGCACTTTTTATGTACGACAAGTCAAGAAAACTCTCCGCTTAATATGCCTACCCTCTCAGTTTTGTCATGATCGCCATTTTTTATGACTATAAAACTGTTAAGTTGGGATTAATCGCTATCCATCTGTTAAAGAGGACACGTGTGATCATTATTTGGTTTTATAACCATAAAATTTGGTCTAATTGATCCCAGAGGTGAGCCCAAAGTGAGGTCTTTTTTCAAGTCACATTTATGGTATATGTTAATCATTTATTAAGAAATTAAATGTGTTTTTCTTTAAGGATATTTATTGGGCTTTCAAATAACACCAATATTGTTGGGGCATCATTATTGTGTCAAAAGAAAATCTTTAAAGTTCGCGTCGCGGGTGGTGCGATTTATTTGCTGTCGAGTGTAGTTTGCGCAAAAGTGATTTGGCGACCTGTTATAATCAAACCAAAATAAATCTCAATTTCTGAAATCGTGTCAATCATTACCTACTATTTTCATTTGACCCAGAAAAGCTAAAATGTCTTGTGACTTAAGCTGTTTTTCTTTAACCTTCTAAGAACCCTATCTTACAATATCATCGTCCACAATTTTTAACCGTCCACCAATTCCCAAAGCACGAAGCTTGAAAAAACTGTCACCTGAGACCACAGACAAGCCTTTGAGTTGAGAACTTAAATTGTTTTTTCTGCGAATCCCTCATTCTATAGTAGATTTCAAGATAGGCAGATGCTCCGTATCATTCGCCGGTCACGTCCCGCCTAGTGATGTGCCCAGTCAGCTATTTTCTATGCCCATTTTAGTTTGTTCCTAAAATCTGATATTTTTCCAAGAATCATTCGAGTTAAATCATTTGATTTCAATAAGCCTACCTACCTACTTTCTTCTCACAAATAAAACTTAATAACGTTAATATAGTTATAGTATAATTTTATTAACTGCTTGTATGATTATTGAAAATCTGAAACCGGAGGTTTGTTTGTAATCGATTTCAAGTTATCAAATATCTTTGCTAAAACTCGTGGTATTTCCTGTAATTGATAATTTTGTCTGAAGTAAATACAAATAAACTATTAGGTATTCTTCGCCTTCAACACATCCCTCGGAGCTCCCGCAGCGGGAAGCGCCAAGCGGGAAGCGGGAAGCCGCGTGAATGACAATGAGCGGGCCGGGCGGGTGCTGCGCGTCACGTCAATACTAGCGGTCGGAGTTTGCCGAATTTCAACTTGAGGGCTCGATTGCGACTTGTTTCTTTCACCGCTGATTTTCTTTTTTATATTCTTGGAGTTAGTTGGTTTTTCAAGTAGCTCTAAAATCTGAGACAGTTTTTATTAAAAGCTACAAGACTTTCATGTCTTTTAGATATAGGTCAAAATGTGTAAAAGGTGGATTAAATGCTGTCTTATCTAAGAGGACCGACATTTTCCAGAAAACGAAGTTAGTTTATGCCAAATCTGTACCAAAACCTGAACAAATTTGCATTGTCGCTCATAATTTTATTAAGTTAGGTCCAATCAAGGCAAAACTCATTTGAATCGTCGTTCGTCGCCATTTTCAACAGATCTTAGGTTGTCTTATTAAAACTTAAAATCTCGGCTTGCCAGGTAAACTGGGAATATCTTGAAAAGTCGGGACAATTTAAACCTTCCCTGAAGATTCGGAAGTGATTAAAATCTGCCGAAAGTTTGGACGGAGTGTTGGCGGGTCGGCTGGGCGGGCGGAATTGTGTTCCCGAATTTTTTGTTGAAAATCGGACATAAACTTCAGTATCCCATTTTCTTCTATCTGACGTTCTACTTTAAATACAAATTACTATCCATATAACTTTTCTTCTCATAGATATACGACGAGTACCAACTCAATGGGGCACACTGAAAACCAGCGCCGCACAGTGGTCCCGATTTAATAAAACATGGACATTGATGCTAGAGGCACGAAATTTTTTTTGATGGTTACTGCTATGATAACTAATAAGGCAAAAAAATATTACAATCCTACGACGTCTATTTCGTAGTAAAAAAAATATATATACATATTTTTTGTATGGAAGAAATTACGTTTCTGTCAATTTTTCGAAATTCTTTAACGATGTCAAGATGCCGATCACACATGTTATAAAACAAGTGATTCTGAGTATTTCATGCGAAGATACTTGTCACTTATCTCTGCGTACTTTTGAGTTATCGAGGGTTGAAAAATCGATTTTTTTATATTAAATATTTCCACAAAAAATTGCCAGAATTACAATATGGTGTATAAGGGACACTTTTGATGACACATAACAACGACTCGAACTCGCGCGCGCTCGTATGCATCAACTTTTACTAAAATAAAAAAAAAATAAGGGAAATACTAAATACAAAGTTGTATGTATAGGTCCGCTGGTCGTCAAAAAGTAGCTTATACGAGAGGTTGCCCAATTTACAATATGTCCATCATTGATAACTCACACAAATATCGTCTTTCTCTGAAGGATAACAAGTTTTTTTTGTTTCCAGAAGCTCTTGATAGGATGGAAGCCCATAAATACTCTCTGAAGCGAGAATGAATCTCAAATTGCGATATTGCCATTTTGACAAATTACATGATGTAACTAGCGCTAACGATTAACGTTAACACAACGCATAGACAACGTTAACACCGAGGAAGATCATGTAATTTGTCAAAATGGCAATATCGCAAATTGAGATTCATTCTCACTTCAGAGAGTATTTATGAGCTTCCATCCTATCAAAAGCTTCTGGAAACAAAAAAAACTTGTTATCCTTCAGAGAGAGATGATATTTGTGTGAGTTATCAATGATGGACCTATTGTAAATTGGGCAACCTCTCGTATAAGCTACTTTTTGACGGCCAGCGGACCTATACATACAATGTTGTATTAAGTATTTCCCTTAATTTTTTATTTTATTTTATTAAAAGCTGATGCATACGAGCGCGCGCGAGTGTGAGTCGTTGTTATGTGTCATCAAAGGTGTCCCTTATACACCATATTGTAATTTTGGCAATTTTTCGTGGAAATATTTAATATAAAAACATCGATTTTTCAACCCTTGATAACTCAAAAGTACGCAGAGATAAGTGACAAGTATCTTCGCATGAAATACTCAGAATCACTTGTTTTATAACATGTGTGATCGGCATTTTGACATCGTTTAAGAATTTTGAAAAATTTACAGAAACGTAATTTCTTCCATACAAAAAATATCTACATATTTTTTTTACTACGAAACAGACGTCGTAGGATTGTAATATTTTTTTGCCATATTAGTTATCATAGCAGTAACCATCAAAAAAAATTTCGTGCTTCTAGCATCAATGTCCATGTTTTATTAAATCGGGACCACCGTGCGCCGTGGCCTTCGTCACCGTGGGCCACGGCATATGCTGAGTGGGGTCCCGTTGCAGTGGGCATCTTGTTGGTGGATGGGTGGCACTGCTCAGTTTACTCTTGTTTTTATTTTTTCTTCTTCCAATATTATGTGCCACTGTCATGTCTATGTAATTGCCTGTATTTGTGTGATTTCCATTGTAATAAATGTGTCTTTCTTTCTTTCTTTCTATCAATTGGAAATCTATAAAGTTAAAATCTCTTTCAGGCGCCGCCAACTACCTTTGCTTTTCTATGGCTGCAGCCTTTGCCTTAACTTTATCAACACTTGAAAGCGATATTGAGTATCGTGCTCAAACAGCATATTGTCAAAAAATAAAAGGATGACAAATTATCATTTTCATTAATTTCACACCGCAAACATTTGTTTAAGTCAAAGGAGCAGGTAATAAAGTATGTAAACAATGGATATCGCCTGCAAAACCGCTGGCCGTCCTAATTGGATCCATTTTGAATAGCTGATTTCTCGTAATTTGATTTATTTAAATAATATTCTGATTGCAGACACTCGTAAATAACGACCCGGGTTTAATAGGTAACGCGATCGCAACTAGTCGGTTGTTATAGAATTATTAAAATAACAATGTTGTATCTACGACTAGCAATCTTTCCAACTATGTTGTAGTTATTGCAACAACTTATGAGCAGCCATAGGTATCTAGCACGGCATAATTGGCCAACAGCTTATCATGCCCCCTGAAGCACGGATTTAAAACACTTCATGAAAAATATATAAGTGTGTGCTGTCACAGCCCACACTTTTATAACAAATATGATATGATAGCCATAATTGAAGTAATAACCATAAATTGTGTAGGTGTACCTACACAATTAATGGCTTTTCCATCACGTAATCAAGTCCCGGTTGTCGGGCGCGTCGTGGGCGTAACAATGAACGTGTGCGAATGTAAAGTTTGCCGTTTCGCCGCAAATTATTGTTTCTTGCCTTCGCCGTGCCTACGAAGGGCTTGTGTGACGTGTAAATAATAAGTCATTGTTTCGTGTGTACTTTGAGATTAATTTGTTGCCGATTCTGCGGTGCTTTAAGCGTTAAATTACTGGAGTTGTGCGTGGTTTTATTAAGCTCTTCATTATAACCGAAAGCTGTATTTATTTTAACCTAATTAAAATTTTAATTGAGTAAAATTACACTTATTCATATAAGCTTTTATAAAATACATTTATCAGAGAAACATTGTATTTCAGAAACTTGTGTAACTAAACTACCTATTAATATAAATAACCTTCGTCAGTACTCAGCCTTCAAATAATATAGGTACACCTTCGGTCCCGATTTTGGGCTAATAATTTTCCAAGCTCCATGCCGGAGGTCGTCAATCTCTAACAAGTATATTTGCATGAGCTGATAAATAGGATGTTCGATACAGCTCACCTGTTGCCCGCACTTTCGATAGACTTGCTTTTGCAATTTAGCTCTTTCGATCTCTCGCTACATTTTCTCTTCACAAAACTTTAGCTTAAAAACCTATTTCTGCTCGATATTTAGTTTTTCCTGTAGAGTATTTCCGAGAACGCCCGAAGGTAGAGCAACGCAATTAGAGCAACGAGTCTCTCGCGTGACGCGCTCCGCTCGCTTCGCTCAGCTCGTTTAATATTTTTTTCAGACTGTAAGTGTGTTTGCGCATGCAATGCGATGAAAGATTGCTAATCGCTGGCCTAATGTGGGAACATTGTTTGCTTGGAGTGTGGAACCAAACAACTTTGTCAAAAAGGAAACGTGGACTATTTTATTTTTCTTTATTAAGGAAACAAACAGCATGAGTTTATACATGTGAACTTAAAAAATAAAAACAGTACAGTAGCCTAATCAGTTTCCACAGATAAACTTTACAAGTTAATCGAAAGTTATGCAGAGTGCGAGCAATTTAAAATCACAAAATATAAAAAAAATTACCTTACATTCTTAAAAGTGGATTAAAAAAAAATCTTTATAATAATGAAGTTTGAAATCTATAAACCTATACAAGTATACATTCAAAGAGATGTTTCATCTATAATCACACAGTCATCTGGGTTAGTAACTCGAATATTTGACTACGAACAGCAAACGTGTATTATAAAGACTCAAAGAGATGTATCATCTAGGAACTATGGACACAAAATCATCTGTGTTAACCACTCGACTACAAACTATCGAGTTAGTTCAGGCCGAGTGCACACAATAATGTTGCAAACCGACTACGGACATTTGTAGCAATAAATCTGATTGATCGAAGCTTTGTGAAAACAGGTAACAAACTCAAATAATTACCACTAGTTACTTTCATTGTTTCTATGTATATCAAAGCTGAAGGGAGCTCCCATCTCAACCACAAGATCATCCTAAGAGTTTATTATTGGCAATCAAGCTGTATATCCAGCTTATACTAGGAACTGGCAACTGGGAATGAAAGTTAGGAATATTCCTGTAAAAGCTCCTGTGCATACCTGTCCCGTGGGATTCCCAGGGTTGATGACGACGAGCGCGCGGACGGCGAACTCCTGGGACGCCTGCTGCCAGCTCCGCTCCAACTCCTGGGTGGAGAGCGCCCAGTTCTTGTCCTCGTCCAAGAAGTACTCTGCCGCTGCTATACCCAGCTCGGAGAGAGTGCCCGAGAACAGCGGGTACTGCGGGATGGGGATCATCACCGCTGCAAGAAAAGTTAAAAGAGTTTAAGGGGCCTTGCAATCACTCAACAATGACCTGATAAAATCTACAAAATGACTTGAAGATTCTGACATCATAACAAATGAGTTTGTAACTCAGCAGCAAGAACAATCATCCAGCAAATAAAAAGGTCGTGGTCTCTAAGACATTCAGTTGTTTGGAATGTTCCAGGTAATGCATAATGAAAATTTTCACAAATGCAAAAATCTTACGAACCATTGTTCAAAAGGTTAACAGTCTTGATATTCCGTAAAGTCAAGTAATGTTGCTCCAATAACTTTGGCAAGATAAGTTGCTTAACATTTTATTTCACCACCGAAAGAACCTTTATGTATGTAATTCCTTCAGAAATAAACATATCCAAGTAGAAGGCAATGCACTCTGCATTACCGGAGTGCAGGGTACCTGTCCCAAAACTTATACTTTCCTATGTAAACTTCGTCGAACTCCAAACGTTTAAACTCGATTTAACCTAAGCAAAATATCAAATTCTCTAGAAACGGTCCAGCTTGTGATGCGAACGGAGCCGCAATGAAAAAACATAGAGAAGAATTATTAGTAGAAGTTTTTCTTCCGAAAGATGTTCACTGCTGAAAAAATCTCCCCTAAGATTCCTGCTATCCCAGATAGAGAGAGTAAAATATAAAGGCCTACACTTGGCAACTTGGCTCTACATCTAATTGCAAACAAAGACTGTCGCAAAGCAGAAAAATTAGACACAAAACTACGTCACAGTGAAAACTCTAGGGTAGAGCGAGGGGATCGAGCGCTTTGCGCACCAATTACAAGTGTCGAAATAACTAAGTTATATGTCAATGCTATATGTATGCTCTTAAGATTTGCCTGGAGTTTGCAGTCCGGAGTTAATCCACTGCATGTAATTTTGGTGTGGCGAAACCAACTGCGCGCAACCGCCGAATTTTATGGAGCGACAACTTTGTTGCGAAGTTTCCAACTCCCAACTAGTTTGGGGAAAACAAGATTTTTATCCTTCGCTGGAGAAAAATGTTTAGTCTAAAAGATGTTTGACGTGCAGCTATACCTACCTATAACTTGCCCAGCGTGTTGGAAAGCTGACGAGGCAAAGACGTCGGTACTAATTTAAGTGGGTAGATTGCAAAACTACATACTGGATATCACTAAAAGCTTCTTTTTGACTTCCACATGAAAAGAGTACCTTAGATGAGTGTGCTCTAGAGCTCTGCAAATTCTGCGCTGTATCTAAGTTCCTGAATTTTGTCTTTTCAGGTCACATAAACACAAGCTAGAAGAAGTTCCCTCAAAAGTGCAATATTGATATAAAATATTTCCAAGACTTTCAAAACCTGAAACTGAATTCTAGCCGATCCAATCCACTCTTGACCGTAACTCAAATAAAATAACTGACGAAATTGCTTTCAGAGCGGCTCCTTTGGGAGCCATATTTCGCGGCGCCTCCATTTTGTCGCCTTTTATACAAATAAGAAATAACACGGCGCAAAATGCGTAACTTCCCGAAATAGAATGATAAAACTTTAACCTTTAGGAGAAAGAGCTTAGATAAATCTTTATTTTCGACACGAGCAGAACGGAGGTGGTTTCAAAGAATGTTTTATGTGCCAGGTTTGTATTTGTAACCACTACAGCCTCTGCACATTTGGAATACTTTCAATGAACTGTTAAAATACTAGGAAACATTTATTTCAAACAGCTAAGAAATAAGACACTAGAAAATCATCAACGACATGACTGTGTGGTGTCTATGAAAAAAGATACTGAATAGGCATTTATTGGGCCGGGATTTACCACCCTAGCCTACCTCTACACTTATCAGGTGTAATTGCGGTCAAATACCTTGCCTTTTAGCAATTCTGCGAGCTATGTCGGTTACTTTGGTTCTCCTACGGATCTCCTCATTTCTGATTCGATCACGCAGGGAAACTCCGAGCATAGCCCGCTCCATCGCCCTTTGGGTGACCTTGAGCCTTCTTATGAGGCCCATAGTAAGCGACCACGTTTCGGATCCATATGTCAACACTGGCAACACACACTGCTCGAAGACTTTCGTCTTGAGTATTTCGCTCGCAGAATTGCTAAAATCAAGTGGCAGTGGGCGGGGCACATAGCTCGTAGAGACGATGGCCGTTGGGGCAGGAAAGTTCTCGAGTGGCGACCACGGGCTGGAAAACGTAGCGTGGGCAGGCCTCCTACTAGGTGGACCGACGATCTGGTAAAGGTCGCGGGAAGAGCCTGGATGCGGGCAGCGCAGGACCGTTAATTGTGGAAAACCTTGGGGGAGGCCTTTGTCCAGCAGTGGACGTCATTTGGCTGGAACGAACGAACGAACCTTGCCTTTTGTTGCAAAAAAAACTATTTAAAGTCTCTTACCAGGCGGCTTCCCCGCGGCTTCCCCCGCGAACATGGTAAGCACGGACTTGATGACGTCGGAGGCGCCGGCGCCGACACACACGTCTTCAGGCGCGGCGGGCACGCCGTCTCGGGCGCGCAAGTACGCTGCCACGCGCTCGCGCACTGCGCGAAGACCCATGCTTGGCGAGTACGCGCCCACTGAGCCCTGGCTGTGGGGACAAAAAAACAGATTATCTTATAGCAGTCCATTACTACAAGGTCACCCAGAGCGAGATGGAGCATGCTATGCTCGGAGTTTTTCTGCGTGATCGAATCAGAAATGAGGAAAACCGCAGGAAAACCAAAGAGACCGTAGGCAAGCTCCCCAACTAGGTGGACCGATGATCTGGTGAAGATCGCGGGAAGTACCTGGATGCGGGCGGCGCAGGGCCGGTGATTATGTAAAACCTTGGATGAGGCCTTTATCATTTGGCTAAAACGAACGAAGACCACTACTAGACGGAAGCGTTCCTCAAGGTACACGAACTTGCGCTTTTTCATGATCTTCTTGAGGACAATAGATTTCAGCAATAAAGCGGCGGTCATAGACAAAATGTCTTTGAATGTATGAATCCAATAGATTCAGATGTAATAATATGATTAATAATTTAATTTACTAGTAAATTAATAATATTTTCGACCTTATTCCATTCTGCTGTGTTAAAATCACATTTCCCATTTCATTATTTGAAGGAAAAATATTGTAACGATCTTTGTTGTTGTACAATTTCCTTCACATAAATAATGCAAAACACGATTACAGCCATTTTCTCTCCAATTCCATCAAAATTGGGACTTGCGTGTGTCGATTCAATGGGAATTAAATTCGGACCAAATAAATGTCTCTCAAATCGCGTGATAGGCGTCCCGCGTGATAGCCCGGGCGCTGGCGCTGATTTTCAATGAGCTTCTAATTGCCTTTTTATTGCTAATTCTTGTGTGATTACGGAAGTAAGTGCCTGAAATAACGTGTTAGATTATTAGATGGATTCAGTCTTATTTGCTGGCATGAATTTTGTTATTGGATCCAAGAATATGTAGGAAGGTATGATTGTTATGGAAATGTAAGTCCAATATTTAGATCTCCATTTTTATTAATATCTATTTTAATAAACTACTTAATTACACAAGCTTTATCACCATAAACAGTCTACATTTACTAAACATGACGAAACAAACGAGCTCCGGCTCCCATCCTATCACATTATTCAGGACATCCATTATACATCACTGACGCATTGGTTTGAGCGCTTAAATATTAATCAGCCTTTCCAAATAATTTTATATCACGAAAGGTTATTGACGATTAATTATAGAGGACATTAATATCAAAGATTAATTTTTGGAACCTATGAACGAATGTTGGTAACTTTTAATCACCACAACCTTTGTTTTAAACTATGGTTGGCATCCAAGGGCGCTTGAATTGACTTTACCAAGAATCTAAATGCTTAATCAAAATCACTTATTTTAGAATCATCAACTAACTTCATTCAATTCAAGAACATCCCAATCAATGGAAACTAACATTCTAAGATTCAAACTAATAAGAATTTTATATTGTGATTTTAGTTAAGTTGAAAATCAAAGTGCCCTTATTTTACCTATACATTAATAAACATTACCTTTTAGACCAAACGTTCTATGGGCAAAGAGAAAATCCCAATGTGTCTAGAGGAAAGTAATTACTAACATTAGCACTCTGATTTCGTGCATTAGTGGACATGTACCAAACGAAGCACGTACCTTAGTGTATAAATAAGTATAACATTCTATTGCTATTTATTTCCTCCCACAGGAGAATCAACGTCTTTCCATTACCCAGTGGACATTTCTAAAAATAAATTCAATTTATTACATTTTACCCGCAAACCACAACAAAAAACGAAAACAAGTCATTCTTAAGGAAAACGTAAATAAAATTACTTTTATTCCGTTTCCACGTAAAAAAAACTTTCACGATGCGCGTCATAAGTGTATTCCACACTATACCTAAATTCTTTAGAAATTTCCTTAAATGTAAACAAACACTTGTGCACACAATTACACCATAATCACTTACGTGTTCATAATATCATACACATTATTTCACAAGCCCATGAAACTAACTTTATTCTCACGATTATACAAGTTTGGAATCAATCTTTAAACAAATTATTTTAGCAAAATATGTGGACGATGAAAATTTGTGAGACTTGTCAAATTGACTTGAAGTTTAAAATTATGTGTTATCTCCATGTTGCCTCTGACACATCAGTGTTGTAACTTGTAAGTCATAGACAATAATCGGTAAATTTAATCGATTTTATTTCAATTATTCAATCATTTTTATTACTGATTGCATTTAAATAGGGTCTTAAGAGCGTTTACGTCTAGCGTGGCATGTCAAGTTTAGGTAATTTCGATGCTAGTTTTATTCACACTAAAATAATTATGACTGTGTGCGTGTTCTCACGCTCTATAGTCAAATCAAAATACTTTGATCCGCCATCGTAAAAGTATGCCAGGCTGTCAAGTGACAGCTCAAGGAAACTATAAAATCTTTAAATCTTCCAACACCGACTCCATAATTATAAATAATGGTATACATTAGTCCTAATCAATAATAAATACGTAAATTCTTTATCAAATAGTAAATTATCAAAGGTTTTTTACTATTTTGAGATTTATACAGCCTATGTTCAGCAGAATTTTTTTTGAATTTTAATTGTGAGAGATTTTTTCAAATCGGTTCTATTCAAAACAAACTTTTCCTGTTTACTATTCTGGAAAATGCATAACATTTCATACCCACCAGCTGCAGGGGCAGCTAGTGGGTTATTTGGGGTTCTTCCTACCAGAAGGTGGGTAGCCCCTACACCCACTAAAAACCTGACTGTTTCTGCCATGATCCATATAAGTGATATGAGGGAACGCGGGACATCGCCATTGGCTGTTGCCTGTAGCATTCGTCCNGATAAATCTTTATTTTCGACAGGAGCAAAACGGAGGTGGGTTCAAAAAATGTTTTATGTACCAGGTTTGTATTTGTAACCACTACAGCCTCTGCACATTTGGAATGTTTTCAAGTAATTATCAAAAAGACTAAAAAGCATTTCTTTCAAACAGCCAAGAAATAAGACACTAAAAAATCATCAACGACATGACTGTGTGGTGTCTATGAAAAAAGATACTGAATAGGCATTTATTGGGCCGGGATTTACCACCCTAGCCTACCTCTACACTTATCAGGTGTAATTGCGGTCAAATACCTTGCCTTTTGTTGCAAAAAAAAACTATTTAAAGTCTCTTACCAGGCGGCTTCCCCGCGGCTTCCCCCGCAAACATGGTAAGCACGGACTTGATGACGTCAGAGGCGCCGGCGCCGACGCACACGTCTTCAGGCGCGGCGGGCACGCCGTCTCTCGCGCGCAGGTACGCTGCCACGCGCTCGCGCACTGCGCGAAGACCCATGCTTGGCGAGTACGCGCCCACTGAGCCCTGGCTGAGGGGACAAAAAAACAGATTATCTTATAGCAGTCCATTACTACAAGGTCACCCAGAGCGAGATGGAGCATGCTATGCTCGGAGTTTTTCTGCGTGATCGAATCAGAAATGAGGAGAACCGCAGGAAAACCAAAGAGACCGTAGGCAAGCTCCCCAACTAGATGACCGATGATCTGGTGAAGATCGCGGGAAGTAGGTACCTGGATGCGGACGGCGCAGGGCCGGTCATAAGTAAATATAAAAAAATATAAAAAAGCCTTTATCATTTGGCTAAAACGAACCACCACTACTAGACGGAAACGTTCCTCAAGGTACACGAACTTGACGCTTTTTCATGATCGTCTTAAGGACAATAGACTTCAGCAATAAAGCGACGGTCATAGACAACATGTCGTTCAATGTTTATTATTGGATTCAGATGTAATAATATGATTAGTTATTTAATATACTAGTAAATTAATAATATGTTCGACCTTATTCTATGTACGGGCGGGAGGCAGTGGTTGTAAGGCACCGCTCCCGTGCCCGGGATATGCGGTCAGGAAGGGAACTAACTCCCTAGTGAGCCTAGAGTCCCTATTCCCTAAGACACTAAGTCCCTAGAGCCCTAGCCCTGCCTAACAATAGATACTTAGACATAATAAGGGTTGATAGGAAGGAAGCTGTGCCCAGGTCGCCCAGGGCAGCAGCGTTAGGACAGCAGGTATACGGCGGGGACCCGCTGCCAGCCCGGCAGACTCACCAGACTGATCATAGCGACGGCTAAGGGTGTCTTGGCCGCAGCGGGGGGAAATGAGACACAACGACGGACGGTTGATATCGGTGATAGTATTGATCAAAGCTTCTTGAATGCGTCGCAAGTTTGACAAGAGGATGTTAGCGGCTAGTGATGAAGCGATGATATAGTTGCTATTTTGATTGTCTAGGCGCACTTGATTAGATTCCAAAGTGAGGTTTTGGAGGACGTGCTTGATGAATGAGACCTGCTTTGTCACGAGTTCCTCGTTGCGTTTAATGATGTTGTATTCAGATTCAATGACAATTGTTTGATTTTTGATCAAATTTTGCAGATGATTCTCGTTCTGAGCGATCTTGATTATGTCATGCTTGTACTGAACTGCAAATCTTTCGTCAAGAACTCCAAATAACGAATTTGCCAGATAGCCGACTCCGTCCACAAGTCCTCTCTTCATTCGGTGGTTGTGATAGTGTAGTAAGCCGTTGTAATGCTCTATTTCATCGATCTCGTGTTGAAGTTGCGTCACAGAGCTGTCGTATGGAGTGTTCACGTGACACAATGATTTTATATGTGTAACGTACTGTTGAATATTTGTCAATCCGTGCCAGTAGGAAGTCAAATTGTAGTAAATTATTAACTTCCACTCGTCTTTGATATGTCGTAGGTCTGATATTTTGTCAAAATATAAGTTTTGACCTTGTTCAATCGTTGTGAGGTTGTAAGGNAAAATGTGGATGCAATGCAATTTGATGAAATCGCTATATGGCTGGGTTTGTGCCATAATCCACAAAGATATTGTTGGTGTGGTGTACTACTATACAAATAAAGAGTGTGCGCTATGGCAACACTGACTAGTACGGCGCGGTGGGGAGTCAGTCGTAGTCGGGCCGCCACACGGGACGGACGTCAGTGCTTGCACTAGCTTACACAGTGAACATATTTCAGTGTTTTATTTAAGACACCACAATGGCGACGAGGATAAAAGTGAGTAATTAATAATTTTAATGATTATAATATACCCAAAAAAATAAAATAAAATAAAAGGGAGGTAGCTACAATAATTATACTTACAGAATGTACATTCACAGTCTATTTGCCTATTATTATTTATCAAAATCATTATTATTATCGACATCAAGTCAATTAATATTTAATTTTACAAACAATACCAAACCTACAAACCGATAGTAATATTGATTTTGATTTTGTTGCGCGTACGCATGNTTTCAAAGTTATTGTTCTAACTTATACCGTTTATGAACTATTATTGTGTGACCATCAAATTTGAGTGTAAATGAGAAGTACCCAAATACAAAATTGACTATATCACAAACTTTAAAAGACTAAAGGGCAGATTCTTAATTCATAAAAAAAAGATTACAGCTGATAATGATAATCTCAATCAATTTAAATTATTGCACAAAAAAGGCACGATATCATACTATTTCCAAAAAATAAAGGTATTTCCAAAAAATAAAGGTCCATAAGCAATTGCAAACGGAAGAAAATCAAGGTGCCGATTTTTTTCGTTCCTAAACATCAACATGTAAATAAATTTTATATTCTTCACCAAAATATACAAGGATTGCTCTCGAAGTTAGAGACAATCGAGATCACTTTGTCAGAGCTTAACTTTTCCTTAGATGTTTTATGCTTCTCAGAGACATTTGTAAAAAACGGTGAAGAAAAAAATATAAATATACGCAACTATGAACTAGCCACACACTATTCAAGGAATAAAAAAAGGGGAGGGACATGTATATTGATTAAAAGAGGTATTCCTTTTAAAAAAATTAGCATTTTTGAAGACTTGGCGATAAATTTTCATTTTGAGTGTTGTTCTATAGCCATTCCTACACACAATGTGTTAATTATTTGTGTGTATAGATCCTCCTCAGCTACGAAGGCGCGACACCTTGTTTACTTTCTTGATCGTCTAGAGGGCTTACTTAACTTATATTTACTCAAATATAGTAAGCATAGAATAGTAATTGTTGGAGATCTGAACATAAATACCTTAAAGGATAACAACTGCACTAGGCACTTTACCGACATTCTATAATTATATAATTTTCATTCATTCGACAATATGTACTAAAAAGTGGAAATATTTGTAAAGCAGCATGGAGGGTAATTCAAAATGAAAGTAATGGTTTATCGTATAATAACAATCACATAGATAAAATTGAATTGAATGGCTTTAATATTAATGACCCCTCACAATTGACAAATACATTTAATGACTTTTTTATTAACTTGACATATAACATAAATAAAAATATTGACATTAATTCGAATAATAATATAAAGACATTAAATAATTCAATTTATCTTACACCTATTGACAAAGAATATGTAGAAAAAGTTATTATGACATTAAAAAACACAAACTCGGAGGGTTATGATGAAGTAAGCACTAAAGTTGTTAAGGCATGCGGAAAGCAGCTGAGCACAATTTTGGCATTCCTGATAAATCTGTCAATGGAAACTGGTACTTTTCCTGATAAACTAAAACGTTCCATCGTAAAACCATTATATAAAAACAAAGGTGAAAAGACTGATTTAANTTAAGAAATTATAACAATCTGATATAATCGTAAATAATAAATAAAGCAAGTTGTACGAGTCATCGTATCATATTTCGACAAATTACTGTTATGCAAAAACTTATAATAAAATTAGTACTGACAAGCTACTCGGCGGAAACGGTCGTTTCATTAAATACTGCCCTTTCCCCTATATCACGACAATATTTCGACAATAACACGACATGATCACCTATCAGTATCAATTTTAATGTAGTTCACGCTACATCAATGGTCCTTCGAGACAACAACTGAACCTGTTATCATCCTCTGGGAACCTCAACGTCGTGCTTCACGTCGCGGCGCCTGGACCTATCATCGGACATCGACAGTGACATTTTAACTGTGTAGTGCTCTGTTTTTCCGGACTGTAGTAGCGAATCGGTTTGACTGGCCTCCCGGAAGAGGGTCTCCCCGGTCAAATTGAGACAAGGACGCACATACTGCATAAGGATTGCAGAAGCGCCACACAGCAACTCCAGCGGAGCTATCGATTATAAATAGNAACGAATGTAAATTTATTAGTCTACGTCTATTAGTTTCGACTTAATTGATGAACAAAGATACCCCTTCCCAGCGATTCCATAGATACCACATTTCTACCCTTCAAGCGGCCAGATTTTTTTTTCTATAGGTATAACATTTATTTTATGAGTTTACGTAGGTAGCCGAGATTATACTTTTTGAATCGATTTTAATATAATATCGATTATCAATATTTCGAGAAAACAGGCGAACCATTTAAATTTTATTAAGTCACGATCCAATCTACTATAGTTGGTTGATTTATTTAAAATATAGATTCATTCCTTTTTAATCGATTATCATATCGATCATGTTTCGAGATTATTGAAAGCTAGTGACGGTAGATTAAGAGCAAGGTGTTTTAGTCTCAAGTAAAAACGCGGATAATTAAAAAATGACGTTTACTATTATTTAACAAAAAACGTATGACAAAAGATCATTTTACAAACAACGTTTGAAAAACTAATCATTTTAAAAAACTTTTAATAAATAATTCTTAAGAATCGTGTTTTCCAAACTTAGAAATTGCCTTGCGCATTTACATGTCTCTCATGATCACTAACTGCAGTGGCGAACGTTCTTTTTCAACATTAAAACGTATTAAAAATGAATTAAGGAACACGATGGGACAAGAACGTCTTACTTAATCATCTTACTTTGTTGAATATAGAGCATGATTTGCTTAAAGAAGTTGTTAATGAAAGTGTTAGCTCTAAATTTTCCCACATTAAATCAAGAAAAGTTCCTTTTTAACAGTTTTGTTTCGTTTAATACCCTAAACTTGAGAACCTAAAGCAAACTAAGGGCCCCTTGATAGAAATTTGCTACAGGCCCCGCGCTGGCTTAATCCGGCACTGGCGAGGCGCCCTTCGCGGGCCCGCTGGCCAAGCAGAACCGCCTGCGCGTCGCGCGCGCGCTACTCGCCTTCGCGCCCGATCTCCAGGTACACGACTATACGAAAATGAAACCTATTGCGATGTAATTGAGGCCGTATTTTGCCTACTAATGGTCCTTATTGAGCTGGAGCAGAGCGCGCGCGAGGCGCCCTTCGCGGGCCCGCTGGCCAAGCAGAACCGCCTGCGGGTCGCGCGCGCGCTGCTCGCCTTCGCGCCCGATCTGCAGGTACACGACTATACGAAAATGAAACCTATTGCGATGTAATTGAGACCGTATTTTGCCTACTAGTGGTCCTTATTGAGCTGGAGCAGAGCGCGCGCGAGGCGCCCTTCGTGGAAATATTATTTCATAATTTCAGACTTCGAACGAAATGCACCGTCTACATCATGTAATGTAAAAGGGAGCTAATACTCATATACATTGTTGTAAAATTATAAAACGCCGTTGCACTGGTGTAAAGCTGGAGCGAATCTAATCTACAATACTTTTATAGGAAGATGCGCGAGTAGAAGTATTGGAATTCATCGCCGGGCAAGTCTCATCAGGAGCTCTGCCCACCGATCCAGAACTGATGAAAAGTGTTTTAGAACTCGCGGCAACCACGAGCAGTGAGCGAAGTGATCGCGCTTGGCTCGCCTTGATAATGCGCTCCAAGCCCAAAATGGACCGCCTTCTGGCCCAAAGGGACTCGTCCGCAGCTAGACCGAGAGTCCGCTGGCGGGTCGAAGCGCTACTGGAGAGACACAACGACGCTATAAGGCACTTCTTCACAATCCAAAACCCTTCTGAGACTGATGTGGACGAGTTTTTCGAGTACCTAAGAACCAGGTGAGAGGCTAGATTTACAGCTTTGATTAAACAGAAGAGTCACATAGTATACCTAACTACATTTGTAAAGCATTTAGGTTATACAAATGCAGTAGGCATCCCTCGATTTCTCGCACATCGGTTCCTTTTTTATTTCACTTTCAGTTTGTTTTCAAGATTAGCTAACATCCAACCTAGACACTAAGCCTAGGCGCAGACAGCAGACTTTTTGTCGGCCTATAGTTTTATTCGGGCAGTTAATCAGTGGCATGTTTGGAAGTGCGCACATTACGCCGATTTGGTATTGGCCGATTCTTCATACAAATCAGAATCGGGCCCAGCTATCAGCCTACTAACTGTCGGTGGTCTGCGCCTAGGTTAACTGCTCATTGGCCCAACATAAAGCCATGTATATTTTCCATAGGTTAGAAGCAGACGATTCTCTATCCCTCGAGAGCCACCTCGCGGCATTGATTCGCCTCAAGCCGCGCGCGGCGGCTGCATTAATGCCGGACAGTCTACTGGACTCCGTGGCGGACAAGCTGGAGCCTGCTTGCGACCGGACGCTGGAGTTCGGAGAGTGTTTATTGGAGACTGGCCGGTTAAAGGGCGATGCCGCCGCTACTCATTTAAAAGTAAGCTGTAATTTTCAGATGATACCCTGACTCTCTAGGATACATTTATTCTAATAGAAATTCGAAGTATATGTATAAGCCAGGAAAAGGACTTTCTCTGCTTATGTACTAAATTGAATTAATCACCTTTATCAGTGGAATGAATAAAAACTTGTGAGTCAACCAAATGCATCATCGTGGAGCAACTTATCTCTTTTTATCTTATAACTTTTAAAATATTGTTAAAATTTCATCTATCGAGCAAGTATCGTCGACGTTGCCTCTTTGTTGGTGATTTTGCTACCCTATCCGCTCACTACTTTTCATTAGTTTCAATCGGAATGTTAGACACTGCCTTGTGTCAATTGACCCAGTTCCGGGTGAAGTTAACGCGAGCATCAACTTTTACGATCATCAGATTTTTCCTGCTCTAGGCATTGTGCGCTATCCGGCCGGATGACGTGAGCGATTTCCTCCAACGGAACCCGGGCGTCGTGCGGCCCGAAGACGCTCTCAGCATCGTGCGAGCGGCTAAACTGGGCGCGGCCGAGGCGTTGTGCTTAGAGGCCGCCGGAGACCCCGCCGCCGCGCTCGAGGCCATGCTGCGAGGCCTCGCCAGCGCCGACCCGGACGCTGCGGCGCGGTAGGTAATGTTTGTGCTTGTGATTTTACAACATACGCTTTTACTCTGAGAGTTCACACACACACAGCCTTGTTCCGTTCTGAATTCGGGGCAACTCACCGCTAATCAACGCTAAATTTTGTCAGTGTGTGTGTGCGCGCCGCATACGTATTGGCGCGCTCACATACAAACCGCGCTCGGGCGTTTCTATGAAGATGACCTACTCATTTGTATTTACTCTGCTTGTTCTCACGCGCGATAACCGCGCGGTTTCTGGTGGTTCTCATTGGCGATGGCGAGGCACTGAGGCGGTAACCATGCGGTTATTGCTGTCTGTTTCTGGACTCAATGCGACTAACCAGACTATAGCTGATAGTTACAAATTAAGCTGGGTCTCCAGCGCGTGTTTTGCAATTTTGTTGAATGTTGACATGTTTTTGTTGATTGTGTAGGGCAAAACGTGCCCTAAAGATCCGGCTTTACATACACAAATGCATGCGATGACGGGCATGACCCTAACCCTTATGTAAGTATTCTCCGCGAAAAAGGTTTGATCAGTTTATGCAAACACAAGGATATATGTTATGTATTTACACAAAACAACCTTCAGTCTTTGTGCATTTTCTTTACAAACATCCTGACACGTGTCTGTGTATGACTAGCTTAAAACTTAACCGACCAGCACTTAAATTATCACAAATAGTTTCAACAAACCTTGAAAGAGCAGGTGGGGCTTAGTGCCACACGCCTTTAGTTAGTCAAAGTCCGGGCGTCGAGCAGATAGAATTTCGTTCAATGACCCCAAGCTACTCATAAGCTGAGCGATAAGGATAGGTAGCTCGGAGTCATTGGACAAAATTCTATGTGCTCGGCGACCGGACTTTAGTTTTGTAGGGTAATCGAATGCCGCACTTAGCCGTGGCACACCTAAACATCGTGATTGTCGGCAGGTGCGTGTCGGCGGCGGCGGCGCTGTGCGCGCGCGCGGGCGGGGCGGCGCCGCGGGCGCAGGCCGCCGCCATGTGGGCGCGCCTGCTGCGCGCCGCGCCGCGCGCCGAGCCCGCGCTGCTGCTTGAGGTACAGGCACCTTATGTATTTGTATTAAAAGCCATTTTGCAACAAAAAAGAATTAAGAGTATATTCGTTCGCATGTAATGAGGGACGTGTGAAGTTGTGGAAATCCTTGGGGGAGGCCTTATTCCAGCAAACATCATTTGGCTGAAACAAATGAACGAACGAGGGAAGTGAACTTCACTGCTAGTAGGGCGACATCTTTATGTAGCTTTCGTTAAAATATTCGAAAGATAATATTGCACTGCACAGTATGCGAGTGGTAACTGACATTTTCCACGTGTAATTTAACTACCTGTCCATACGATGCCACATAATGTCATTTAAAGCCCGGTCTGTGAGCACGTAGAATTTTATCCCGTCGCACAGTCGCGATAGCAATATAATTACGCGCGAGCGATAAGGATGGATAGCTTGGGGTCATTGGACAAAATTCTACGTGCTCGCAGATCAAACTATACCATGAATAATCCCGTGTGGGCGTAGAAATAGTACGGCGCCGCAACGAATCAAAAACTATCACTCCATCCTTCGTTGGTTCATTTCAGCCAAATGACGTCCACTGCTGGAATCATCTGTAGAGATAGCTGTGCCCGCCCACTGCCACTTGATTGAGTGATGATCACTCCATCACCCAGTCATTATTTATTTATCGGGCGCCATATCAACATTATTTTTAAATGTCCACAGGCGGCGGCGTACGTGCCGGTAGAGACTTTGCTGGCGCGCGCCGAGTCGACGCGCGGCGCGCTGGCGCTGGTGGCGTGCGCGGAGTCGTGGCGGCGCGCGTGGCGCTGCGCGGGCGCCGTGGCGGCGAAGGTACACGACTCGATACGATTCAAATATCGAACACCTAAGCCTAAGCATAGATTAATAAAGCGTACATAGTCTTCATACAAGCGCTTCGTCTAAAGTGAGACAAATAGGTATCTTATTCACTTTCATAATGTTGCCATTGTGAAAAATTTACAATAAAAGCTATTTTTTTAAAGTGGGAGTTTTATCGTTATAAAATCTTATTTTGGTAATTTTTATACTTGATGTGACGTTCTTTGTCTTTTCAAGTGAGCCAGAATGGTCCACTTAACTTTCGTCACTTTTTTTGCGCTAGGGTCATTGCTAAAGTAATTAGCCGATACATAGTTATTGGCATATTGGATTGTTGATAAGTAAGAGACAAAAATATTTACAACATTGGACTTCGTATTGCTCAGAAAAAATATTTGTCTTTTCCTCTTTTAATAACTTCCATTAGGCTTGTTTCTTTTCATTTTAGGCAAGTTGGCCAATAACTATGTATTGGCTAAAAAGGCTTCATTAATCTATGCTAACCTAAGTAAGATACTGACATTATATTTCATTGATACTAACCTATGATTCAACTGTATTTTGAGAAAATAAGGAAATTTGTATTTATAGGACGCGCACTCGGCGCTCGCCCGCGCGCTGGCCGCCGCGCGCCGCCCGCTGCCCGTGCGCGGCCGCTGCCAGGCCTGCGCGCGCCCGCTGGCCACCGGCGAGGTGAGGCTCAGCCCCATTTGTACGCTCCTTAACCCAACCGCCTCTGTAAGACCACCTGCTTCAGACGCAGAGGTCCCGGGTTCGATTCCCAGTGGGGCAGATTTTTCTGCTGGGTTTGGTTGGTGGTAGGGCTTGCTCTAAGTTCGCCTGGCTACCTACCACCATCTTACCTAACTCTGTCGCCATAACAACAATGTTAGCAGCATTGTTGTGTTCCGGCAGTTAGAGGTAAGATAGCCAGTTCCTCCGTGGTTGAGGATTCCGGGTGAAGCTCGCTTCCACCTTCGGCCTGATCATCACTTACATCAGGCGAGATACAGGCCAAGAGCTTCCTCGTTGTGGATAAAAAAAACCGTTGTCTTAGACTAGGTGCAGACCATCGATTTTTAGTAGGCCGATAGTTGTGCCCGATTTTAAATTGTATGTGTAGCGTGAACTACATTAAATTGATACTGATAGGTGATAATGTCGTGTTATTGTCGAAATATTGTCGTGATATAGGGGAAAGGGTAGTATTTAATGAAACGACCGTTTCCGCCGAGTAGCTTGTCAGTACTAAATTTATTATAAGTTTTTGCATAACAGTAATTTGTCGAAATATGATACGATGACTCGTACATCTTGCCTATCTTAAAACAACAAGAAAAAGGGATAATAATAATTAAACAATATTAATTAAAGATTAACGGTGGACGTTTTGAAGCGTTGCGTCGGCATGGGTGATGGAGATGTCCCTCGGTCGATGCTGAAGGTGCTGACTGCACGCGGCATGGTCTCGATCGCATCTTCAGTAGTTGGCGCCGGAGGCTGTTGTCGATTACGTCGCCAATAGTACGCAGCGCAACATGTCATCAGTAAAAGGCCCACCAGTAAGATGTATGACATAGTGTAATGGTGGACGTCGTGTACGTTGATCTCTTTAGACGCCTCTGCTTTTAGACGTTCAATGTCTGTTTTCAATTGATTGAATATCATCTGGTGATCTTCAGTCGGGATGGAGATTTCGGAGTAGCTGCTATTAATAATAGTGTTCAATATAGATGTCTTTGGAACCTCCATTGATTCTATTTGATGATACGTTTCACTCAAGAATTGATTGTGTGAACGTATTGTAAAGGTGTCGCCCTTGATCGTACAACCTTGACTTAGTGTAATGATGCCTGTCCCAGTGATAGTATGAACATCTGTTCCCGTAGTGCAAAACAAGCGAATAGTGCATTCCTTGCAACATGAGTACAGCCAGCTGTTTCGCCGATGTAACTTGATCCACTTGTCGGAAGTGCACGGCGCGATGAGTGACGAGCACGGTGACTCATTTGATGTGACGTCGATGTTTGTTAACTTGATGTCGCAAATCGAATGTTTTATTTTTAGGTCGTAGATAGGTTCATCAATTGAGCAGAGGATGGTGTCCTTTTGATCATGAACACATGCTTGCAGGTTTCCTTCCGACAACAGAAAAGCTGCATCTTTCTTCAAGTCGAATGCAATGTATTGATAAGAAGAGACCACGTAACGTATTTGCTCTCCTATTCTTCGAGGTACCGTGATGATCTTGTCTAACTCGTATACTTCGTTACTCACGAGTGGTATTCTGACCTCCATGATAAGGTAGTTGTCAATTACTCTCGCGAACACCTTTAGTAGTTTATATAACTGTCTGATGTTGTTTATGTCGGTAGGTAACGTGAGATCGCCGTGTAATTGACCTGATATAATGTTGATTTGCTGTTCTAGTTGTTCAGGCGAAAACAGGTGTATGTCAATTTGTCCGTGAGTGATATCGGTGATAGTATTGATCAAAGCTTCTTGAATGCGTCGCAAGTTTGACAAGAGGATGTTAGCGGCTAGTGATGAAGCGATGATATAATTGCTATTTTGATTGTCTAGGCGCACTTGATTGGCTTCCAAAGTGAGGTTTTGGAGGACGTGCTTGATGAATGAGACCTGCTTTGTCATGAGTTCCTCGTTGCGTTTAATGATGTTGTATTCAGATTCAATGACAATTGTTTGATTTTTTATCAAATTTTGCAGATGATTCTCGTTCTGAGCGATCTTGATTATGTCATGCTTGTACTGAACTGCAAATCTTTCGTCAAGAACTCCAAATAACGAATTTGCCAGATAGCCGACTCCGTCCACAAGTCCTCTCTTCATTCGGTGGTTGTGATAGTGTAGTAAGCCGTTGTAATGCTCTATTTCATCGATCTCGTGTTGAAGTTGCGTCACAGAGCTGTCGTATGGAGTGTTCACGTGACACAATGATTTTATATGTGTGACGTACTGTTGAATATTTGTCAATCCGTGCCAGTAGGAAGTCAAATTGTAATAAATTATTAACTTCCACTCGTCTTTGATATGTCGTAGGTCTGATATTTTGTCAAAATATAAGTTTTGACCTTGTTCAATCGTTGTGAGGTTGTAAGGNTTCTTATCTTATCTTATCTTATCTTATCTTAAGATTTTGGATTCAAAATTCAGTTTTACGCAACTCGTAGGAACGGCCCTTATTAAAGAAATTACAAGTTTTTAACTAGCTACCTATACAGGGTGTTTCTTGTAAGGTGTCAAGCCGAAGGCAGGTGATAGGTGAGGACTAGACCTATCGATTTCACCCCCATGTATATTCTACGATTTTTCGTAGTTTAGAAGTTATCGTTAATTTTGTGATTTTTTCAAATTTCATGACCTAGTGGCTTAATTTTTTTTTATCTTTTTTTGGGTTGACTTTTCTCAGATTTCTTTTTTTTGACAGATTTTCTATTAGTTGGAGATATTTGAAAAAAATAATCACCTTCCTATCTTTGATGCAAGATACAAAATTTTTGCTAGAAACATAAAAAATATGCTTTTAGCAGAACATTCTAAAATNGAGTTTACCACGTTGCTGCAACAAATTGAAGCGTGCATGAACTCCAGACCTTTATGCCCGTTGTTTGAAGACCCTGACGACGAAGTTCTCACTCCTGGTCACTTCCTAGTGGGTGATTCACTCATGGCAAGGCCACAGACTGACCCAGATGTTGTGAACTTACCTGCTAGATGGCAGCTCGTGCAGACGATGAACAAGCATTTCTGGAGAAAGTGGTCACAAGAGTACCTTCAACACCTGCAAAAGAGATCAAAATGGAGAAACCCTAGTGAAAACTTAAAGGTCGACGACATTGTTATCATCAAGGAAGACAATATGCCGCCTGGAAAGTGGGCAATGGCACATGTCCTCGAAGTCCACCCCGGGAAGGACGGCTACGTAAGAGTTGTTTCCTTGAAAACTGAAAATAATATCATCAAGCGCCCTGTCAACAAGCTTATCAAACTACCGGTTCACGACATCAACCAACAAGATCAGGCTGAGTGTATTAAAGAAGACGCTCCAAAGCCGTCACAACAACCTCAAAGACAACCTCGACGTGGAGGAAACAAGAAACCTGCAAGCATGTGTTAATGATCAAAAGGACACCATCCTCTGCTCAATTGATGAACCTATCTACGACCTAAAAAATTAAACATTCGATTTGCGACATCAAGTTAACAAACATCGACGTCACATCAAATGAGTCACCGTGTTCGTCACTCATCGCGCCGTGCACTTCCGACAAGTGGATCAAGTTACGTCGGCGAAACAGCTGGCTGTACTCATGTTGCAAGGAATGCACTATTCGCTTGTTTTGTACTACGGGAACAGATGTTCGTACTATCACTGGGACAGGCATCATTACACTAAGTCAAGGTTGTACGATCAAGGGCGACACCTTTACAATACGTTCACACAATCAATTCTTGCGGCCTTTCGACGTATGTGTGCCCGTCGAGGGACGCCTCGCCATGTATACTCTGACAATGGCACTAACTTCGTTGGAGCCGACAATATATTAAGACGAGAGTACAAGGCTATATTGGACACTATCGACACCTCATTCATCAAAAATATCAACGAGCTAGGCGTCACGTGGCATTTCAACGCTCCAGCGTGGCCCAGCGCGGGTGGCCATGCGATCGGCCGCCTGAACCGGACGCATGTGACCTAGTTGTAGATATTCATGCATAAAGTTGCAATACGAAGTCGATAAAACTTCATTTTTGGCCATNTAAATTATTAACTTCCACTCGTCTTTGATATGTCGTAGGTCTGATATTTTGTCAAAATATAAGTTTTGACCTTGTTCAATCGTTGTGAGGTTGTAAGGTGTCGTATTCTGTTGCATGCTTGGTGATAAAATAGTCATGAAGGCGAGGAGTGCCAGAGAGATGAATGTTGAGTGTTTCTTGTTTCCTCCACGTCGAGATTGTCTTTGAGGTTGTTGTGACTGCTTTGGAGCGTCTTCTTTAATACGCTCAGCCTGATCTTGTTGGTTGATGTCGTGAACCGGTAGTTTGATAAGCTTGTTGACAGGGCGCTTGATGATATTATTTTCAGTTTTCAAGGAAACAACTCTTACGTAGCCGTCCTTCCCGGGATGGACTTCGAGGACACGTGCCATGGCCCACTTTCCAGGCGGCATATTGTCTTCCTTGATGATAACAATGTCGTCGACCTTTAAGTTTTCACTAGGGGTTCTCCATTTTGATCTCTTTTGCAGGTGTTGAAGGTACTCTTGTGACCACTTTCTCCAGAAATGCTTGTTCATCGTCTGCACGAGCTGCCATCTAGCAGGTAAGTTCACAACATCTGGGTCAGTCTGTGGTCTTGCCATGAGTGAATCACCCACTAGGAAGTGACCAGGAGTGAGAACCTCGTCGTCAGGGTCTTCAGACAACGGGCATAAAGGTCTGGAGTTCATGCACGCTTCAATTTGTTGCAGCAACGTGATAAACTCTTCATATGTCAGCTTTTGATCTCCCAGGACTCTCTTGAGGTGGAATTTCATGCTTTTAACGGCGGCCTCCCACAGGCCACCCGCGCTGGGCCACGCTGGAGCGTTGAAATGCCACGTGACGCCTAGCTCGTTGATATTTCTGATGAATGAGGTGTCGATAGTGTCCAATATAGCCTTGTACTC